AGAGTAAGAGCGCGAGTACTCGAACCGCGAGTACTCCTCGTCGTATTACTTAGTGTCATCGCGCGCTATTTCGTTGCGTTCGGCCTAAATGATTCTGTATTTGTCTTTCGTTTTCGCCTTTGTATCTGACGCGTGGATTCGCGATTGAAATTGTCGGTCGTCGTTAGACCTCGGTACTCGCGTCGTACTGAGCCACGTTTCTTTTTGTACTATCGCGCCGATGCTGACGGTGGTCGCGTTACTGGTTACTGTCCGAATTGATTACTGTTCGAGAGTGATTTCTTTTCTTTTGTCACGTCAAGGATTATCGCGCCGCTGAGTTATCGGCCTTGAATATTATCAAATTATTTTTCGTTTTTCTTCTTTTCTTTTGTTATCACCGCACTGTATTATTTCTTTGGCTACTGCTTTTTACCGCTCTGCCACGCGGGGAATAAACGGTAGCATTATTATAATTCTAAATACTGCGTCTGAATTCTTTCGCCCAGCCGGTGCCATCCCGCCGCCCGTCCGCCCTTAGTTCCGCCCTGCCCCTCTACCGTTAGGTAGGGCCGGCCGGCCCTTGCGCGATCGACCTCGGGGAGCAGCGCCCGGTTGTGAATCTCGGTTAGCGTTGTGAACAATCACTTTGGCTGTCGCGTTATTGCTGAAAATTCGCGTTTCGCGAGTGACGTGCCGCCGAGCGCGTCTGGCGCCCAATTTTCGTGTCGCTGCTCCTTGTCGGTCGCCGGAAGGACAAAATACCGAGGGCTACCATCCTCCCTCCCGAAATCCTACGCGGTTTCACCCTTTTTCGTTTTGATCCGCGCTCGCGCGAGTTACCGAACTCACGGGAGTGCGTGACAAAATTTGGCGCCCAACGTGGGGCCCTTAAACTAAAGGGCAATAGAGCATTTTTATTTAATGCGATCGGATGGTGGCTTGGCGGAAGGGTTCGAGACTTGGCGCAATCTATTTTCTTTTGCGATTCCGTTATTTTATTGACTGTATTATATATGTTTTGTTGTAGTTAGTTTAATTGTGTGTGTCCGAATTTACTTTTCTCTGTGCATTTATTGACTATCTCTTGATCGTGTACTTTGCCGGATGCATCGCGAATGTCGTGTCGAGATTCCGTTTATGATTCCATTTACAATTTCGAGTATTTGCAGTGTCGTTCGCATTTCTCGTGGTCGGCTTGGCCGACATCGTTATTCGCGTGAATTGACCTTGACGCAGGAATTCGTCCTACATAACAAACAGTGCCGATTGTAGTGCTTTGCTTCGCTTCGCGTAAACAGATCGGAATTTAGGGGGAGGTACACGCCCGGCCGAGCTAAGTACACACGCACCGAGCGGGAAAGATTTCTCGCAATCCGGTTGTCGTGCGATTCGAGTGCCTCGTGGCCGGAAAATTGTTTTGCGTCACCCCATAGAGACGACGTTAGTGATCGCGCGGAAATGTCGCTCTCGGAGCGTTTAGAGCTGCCTCAGGAGGACATGCGTCCGGACAGTCCATTCGAGGACGCCTCGGATGCACCGGGTCTCCTGCCTTCGGTAGGAGCCCGTAGTGGTCGTGGAGGCAGTTCGGCCTCCATCGCGTATAACACCATGCGTCGATGGAATTTGCAGTTTTCGGGCGAGGATACGGAGGACGCGGAGGCCTTCCTCTCGCGCGTCGAGGAGGGGCGTGACATGGCCGATCTCGACGACGCGGACGTGTTTAAGTGCATGCCATTCTTTCTGTCGGGGAATGCGTTACACTGGTTTCGCGGAATTCGGTCGGAGCTTACATCGTGGGGACATTTTAGCGAGGAATGGAGAGCGCGTTTCGGAGATCCGGATTATCAGCATACGCTGCGCGCGGAGATCGGGAGGCGTACGCAGGGCGAGGGCGAGTCGGTTAAGCGATACCTGTCGTGTTTAAAGGCTCTGTTCGATCGATTGATACCGCGGTGGACCGAGGCGGAAAAAGTCAGTTACGCGCATCGTAACCTGCGGCCGAGCCTGCAGAGACAAATCCCGGTAGGCTCCATGCCGGACGTCAGCTCGTTGGAGACGCTTGCCTCCCGCCTCGAGCAAAGCGATAAAACCGCGCAAAGTTATCGCGCACCGCCCACGCCCGAGAAATCGGTCTTTCCTGATTTAGCATATCGACCTAGCAAATTAGAAGCACGGGACCGACGCTCGAACGTAACGGTCGCCGCTCT